TAAAACGGTTGTGACAGGACAACCGTTTTTTATTGTTGCACTGTTTTGTTCATAATATTAAATAGTTTTCCTTCACAACTGATTAATATTATGATCAATTTTTTTATAATAGGAGGCTGTATTTCTAACAACCTTCCTGTATTATACATTAAGGAATCAAAATCCAGCACCCAATAACAAAAATTTAAAAGCTAACAATAATCATATACATGAAACATATATTATGAATTTTTACACAAAAGCTATTTACAATTTAAAAGTTGTTTAACTTAAACCAATTAGTAATCAAAATAAAGTTCCAAAATCCAAAAATTAGCCAAATATAGGTATATCATTTATGTCAATTTTAAATATACACACACATGTTTCTTCATTGTTGCTTCTCCAACCAGCAACTAGTTGCCGTCCTTGTCTTTGTAAGTAGGAGCATAGTCAGATCCGTTGTATCCTTCCCTTTATGAGTGTTCACCTGTATCATATCAAATTAGCCTAAAATCATTAGTAAAATATTTTCCTCCTCGAGATCTCAAACGAATGTTAACTGGAGAAATCATGGGGTGTTCTTACCAAAGTTGCACTTGAACATGTTCCACGAGGCCTTGAAGAGATCAATCAAAGCGAGCTATTAGATCAAATGGTAACACATGTGGTTTCCTTTTAGAACAATAAATAGTGACTTCTATAATATTCACATCCAAATTACTCAGTGCGTGTTGGATTTGATGGGTTCCCTCAAGGAAACAAAAATGTTGCAGGCAAGTCCTTAAGCATGCTTGAGAATAATTATTTCAATCTTGAATTTACATTACAAATAGAAGTTCAGATGTAACATAATAAGCAATAATGTGAATCCTAATCATCACCATGATTGATGCTATTATAGCCATTCTATTGTTTGTTACTGTCAATAGCGTTAGCATATGATTTTTGATTCATTTGTGCAAAAAAAGCCCAAAAATTTTAATCTCTATCATTTCAAACTTAATTGGAAAAGCGAAGAAATAACAATAAAGTCTTCTCATTAATGTAAAACGTCAATTTAAGTGATAGCTTTAAACATGAAAAACTTTTTGGATTCAGTGAAGAGCCAGTGCAAACACACAGAAGTTTGGGATTCCACTTCTCATAACCTGTCAAAATAAATTTGAATTCATTGACTGAAAAAAAAAATCCAAAAAACTTTGAAACTTGCTATTAAACAGATTCAGTTTCGGTGCTCAGCACCAAAAAACTGCCATTTTACACTGTTAAATTTTTTATTTTCTTTTTTTAAACCACAAATTATTATTATTATTATTATTATTATTATAAAATATTATTTTAATATTTAATAAATAAATAAACTTAACTGGTTAAAATTTGACATGAAAAGTTCATATATAATTTTGATATGAAACATTTTAAAATTGTACTAAAAAAATTAGAACTGTAACTAAAAAATTTATAAAATATTTTTTTTATTTTATTGATTTTACACAATTGTCCATCTATAAAAGGTAATATCATTTAAGGTATTTTCGAGTATCAAACATAAGTACTTCTCTTAACAAGAATTTAAACATTAATTTGTTACATTATAAGAAACTAACTCATTTTGTTAGATTCAAACTCTATTTTAAATTCTTCATATTATTTTTTTAATACAGTTCTGAATTGTTCAAATCAAAATTTTTATTTGAACTATTTGGGTTAAATTTTAACAGACTATTATTTATTTATTTATTAAATATTAAAATAAAAATTTTATAATATTTATTTATTAATAATTTTGTGGTTTAAAAAAAGAAAGAGAAAAAAGTTAACACTATAAAACCACAATATTTTGGTGCTGAGCACCATGGTGCTCAAACCAAATCCCCATTAAACATATTGTCAACAAAATATTGCATATGCTTTAGTTTTTAAATCAATGATAGAGCCTTATAAATACGTCTTTTGATTATACATTACATTACATATGCTTTTTTTTATACAAAAGATTATGAATCAAGCCCCATCTACAAACTTACCTCAAAATTATATGAAAAGGGCAAAACATCAATCAAGTGACATAAGTTCTGAGTATTAAATTTTATAAATTTATAAAAATTAACAAGTTAAAAATTTTGAATCTGACAATTCAAATTTAATCTAGACGGTCTTGATGACCACGCGGTCCTGATGAGGCCAAGCACGTACCCACGAACGCGAAACCAGCAGCAAGATGAAAACGTGTAATGGTGACTAAATCACAACATTTCAATGGTAGCAAAAGGCTAGGCTTGGTCAAAAGTAGCTCCTTGGTGCTTGGAATGGGAGTTTGATGACTAGGTATTTGGGTTTTTAAAAAGAAGAGGAGTTTTGAGTTTGAGATGTAAGGTTCAGGTTGCATCTAAAAAGGCCTCTTGTAAAACTAATTTTTAATGACATGAGATTCTGATCAAGAGTTAACACCCTTAACCGTAATGGCAAAATGTTAGAAGCACGTTGGAGAACTCCAAATCCAGGATGGATATGTTTTAACATTGGCGGAGCTGTTAGCTCCAATGGAGTAGTAACTTGTGCTGAAATTATGCGTCATGATAAAGGTAATTGGATTAAAAGATTTTTCAAATACTTTAGCTACCAACTCAGCACCACAGCAGAACTCTTGGCCATTTTAGAAGGTCTTCAGCTTTGTTGAAATGCGCAATTCCCTAATATCAATATACATTCTAACTCAGTGGAAGCTCTCTCTCTTATTCAGCATAATCTCTCTAATAATCATCCTCTCTCTAAGACCATCAAGAAAATCAAAAATTTTGTTATGAAAGTTTGAATCATTACCTTTGACCACACGTCCAAGAAAGCAAAAGATGTGCTGACTTTCTTGCTCACCAAGCCTCTCAAAAAAAATTTGATCTAATCATTTTTTATCATCCACCCTCAGAATGCAGATCCCTTATAGAATCCAACATGACCTGATTTATATTCTTCTTCTGCATGGGTTTTCTGTGGCCTTGTATTAAAAAAAACAAATTTTTAAACAGTTGTTTACTATTTAATATACAATACAAAATAATTTTAAAAAAGAAACTGTTGAGTATTTAGACACATTATTGAACGGTTCTTTAATAAAAACGGTTTAATATTGTTTCAATTTTAAAAATATTAAAATACAAAGTATGTTAAACACTTTTTAAGAGAAACCGTTTAGTATTCTGTGCGAATATTAAACAGTTCTTTCAACAACCTCTTAGCATTTGATTTTCGAAATCCCGCCTAAATATATAAAACGATTTTTCTTATAATTTTTAATAAATGGAGCTTTATATTGTCATTTTTATAGTAATGAATATTTATCAATATTCATGGATAAGATAAGATGTATGTAAAAATTCTGAAAATTTAAGAGCGTGGATGCCCTTTTTTTTTTTTTTTGTAAGTGTGATTTTATGGTAGTGTTTACAAAGCAAAAGTATCCTAGATGTTTCTTGACATTCAAAATATTAGGTTAATGTTATGATACAAACTAATAATACAGTAAATGCTTTATTGGAAACCAACCATGGCATTTATCAACTATTATGACATGCATTTTGGGATTTATATTATCATTTAACTATCTATTGATGGTATAGCATACTCTCTTTGTCTCTATATATAAAATATTTTTAACCAAATTATGTAAATTAATAAAAATTGATTATCTAATTAAAAATACAGTAACATTCCAATTTTACCTTTAATTATTATAAATAAAAAATAAATCTCTTTTTTTAAAGTAAATTAATGAGAGTACCTATCTTTTTTTCTTTTCAATTTAATGAGAATATAATGGTCCATTTGTTAAAAAATATGCTAACAACTTCTTATATTATAAAAATAAGTTCTAAAAGATTTTTTATATATAGAGATAGAGGCAGTAATTTCAAAAGATGTAAGAAAAAATAGAAGGAATGCAAATGAAAGAAGTAAACTTCATACGCAATTTCATTTCCGTGTCTCATATAACTGCTTAACTATACAAGATTCAGTTTAGACATTTCAGGATTGGATTTTCCCATCAACATTTTGACCTTTCCAATGCTAGTGCTCCAAAATCATCATGCAATTTGTGCTTTTTTAGGGATGGAATTTGAACTTGCATCAGATCAAGTTTATTTATATTTAGGACTTCGACTAATAAATTATTTATCAGGATAGATTTGCATTGTGCCGTGTGTTCAAGAAAAATGGGACATGCTCTGAAGTTGAAGAGCAAGCAAGGCAATATGGTACTTTGACATTGACAGAAAGCTCTCAAACCCTAATTAATGAATGTGAAACTGTGTCACGAGATGGAGCAATAGGGACACCTTAAAACATGTTTGGAAGAAGACGATTCATGGATGCAGTTCGATGCTCGGTATGTAATCTTCAAAAAACAACACAACCATAGCTGGCGGGGAAGAAGTCTCTCATTTAACATTTACAATTTAATGATACAATAATTGAATATGAGAAAAATGACAGTTAAGACTCCCAAAGAAGTAATTAATGATAATTTAATTTCCAATAAAAAATTTTGAAAAATAAATTACAAATATCAATTTAAATAATTAGACTTCTAATTAGAAATAAAACATTTAAAATTTAAATATAACTCAGAATTTGTAATTAGGATTCATATCTATAATTGCCTCAACCAGTATTTAATGTTTACAACTAATTTCTAAAATAAATTTATCAAGAATGTAATTATCATTAATTCTCTCTTTGGAAACAATACTTTCCCCCTAAAATTTATTTTACCATCATTGTTGTATGTTTGTGGGATTTTCTTAAAAAAATTCTCCTGTAGATTATCATCATTCCTAGGTAGCTTCGTTTGGTGGAATTGTTGAGAGCTTTATAACATTGCTTTCATGTACTAGTGGAATTAGAGTGCCCAAGAACCGAAAATGGGAAAGGATAAAGGGTTGAAGAATCAAATTTGATACCTCATTCTTGCAACGGTGTTTTTATTTTGGGATTAACTCAAGATTTTCAGCGGAAAGTAATTGAGAAAGGATTTAGCTTTTTATTAATTGCGGATATTGGATTTGATTACCAAGGCCTAAATGGATATACATGTCCTACATACACACACACATCAATGGGTCGCCAGCCATGTACCCGAAATTATGTAGGCCAAAAAATGCAATACAGAAACGAATCCAGGTGTACAATTCCCTGAGGTGGCTGGAAGCATGTGGCATTTTATACGTACATTGAGATATGCCAAGGTCTAAATTTTACGGCAAGGTAAATGCTGACAAGCTGGAGATATATGAAAAGAATTGTAAATAAGATGTTTCTCAATTAGATATCACCTACTAAATTAGTTCCTCCTAGACTTTTGAGGCAAATTTTCAGGCCAAAACTGGACCTCTATGTAACCATCTGTAAGAGCAATGGAAAGCTACAGGCATACCCTAGCCCGTTGCCCCTTCCTCCCTTCCAATGCAACAAAAGCTGAACTTGGATCTCTCTCGGCTAAACATCTTTTATATGGTACAAACCCTCTTGAAGACACTCTGCAGGGTACATTCTCTCCCTCGTGATGAGACAATTGGCTTTGAGAATCATCAGATTCTGAGTTCCTGTCCCCATTTTCCATTTCACAAACAGTTTCAGCATTTGAACCAGTACAGGAAGTTTCCTTCTCTATCACCCTGTCTTTCAAAGAGGGACGGATAGGTTTAGGATTTAGAATTTGGTTACATGGACGAATGTAAACGAGTGGAAGGTGTTGGCACATATTCCACCATGACAAAGTTTCATCAGGTGCAGGTTCCACAAAGCATGGGTTCTCTTTCCGGTATTCTGAGCAATTTGCTTCAGCTCCTTCAAGGGTTGCAGCACTATCATACATGCCCAGTGATAATTGTGAATCGAGTTGACTGGATGGCCATGTTTGGCCAAGCTTTTCGTTCTCAACATCATCTACTTGATCAGACTTGCTTGCAGCTACCTTGATATTCTCCCCAACTACATCAAGTGACTTCGGATTATCTACCATCTGAACAGTTCTTCCAAACAGCTTAATACTTGTAACATGGGCCACGTTGGTAGCATTTTCAATAGAAGATTCAGTATCCTTGGAACTCAACTCAGACTTCTGGAATAACAACAGATAATGTCGTAATCAGTCAGAAACTTATCCACAATAAATAATTTTACAAACACTATCATAAGACACTAGTTAAATCTTGGAAGAACATGAAGCGCATCATACCGTCGGCAATACATGTATGTTCAAACCAGCAGATAAAGAGTTTTCAACAGGTGACAGTGATGAGTTGGATGAGCGAACCTCAGTGGCACAAGAATTAGGTGATTGACATCTGTTAGGCTGCTCTGAAGATGCTGACCCAAATACTTCTGAATTAAATGCAGAGAACACAGAGGTCGGAGATTGGGTGTCTTTCTCTGCAACTGCCAGGTTTGGGGATGAAGATCTTTCCGCTTCATTTGCTATAGATAGGCTTTTACTAGAATCAACTGATTTCCGGGGATATGGATGCAGGGGCTTCCTCTTTGGCCGAGGAGGCGGTATATCACTTGGTTTTATAGAACTTTCAGCAGTACCATCAGATTCCCGGGTAACCTAAAGCCAGTTAGAGATTTAATTCATGAGAAACTTGAAGGAGATTAAAACATCAATCAAATTTCTAGACCATTTAAGTTGCAAATGATCGAAATCATGCCCTTTCTCAGAAAGATACGATCTAGATTTTAGAGACTGCCAAAGCCAACATTCTGATAGTACCATCCAACATATTACCCATTATTTACTGAAATTTAAATATTAACCTTAGAGAAGAATTTCTGGGCATGGCTTCGAATCTGAACGGCAGTCTTTGTACCTACGTGTTCTGCATGAAGTTAAGAATGGCTTCATCTATCTTGACCAGACATATGAAATTTTGTTCATTTTAGACCACTGTAATTAAATCAGCATATATTAATAACCTTCAATTTGCCGCCAACCACGACCATACAATTTCAAAGCTTCTAGGAACTTCTGATGCTCTTCCTCTGTCCACTTTTCTCTTTGCTTGGAAATGGTATAGGGTTTCCTCACCTGTTAAAAAACCTAAATGTGTGAAATTGAAGCACAAGAAAAAAAGTTCTTCAAGACATACCGTCTCATAAAAGGGAAGAAGTTACTCAATATGGAAAGCACAACAACCTTAGGAGTATGGTTGTTTTCGTTAGGAGTGTGATCCTTCAACAGGGCAACATTTTCTGATTTTGTGCCGTTGTTGGGATGGTTATTACTAGCATTGCCAGCACTATTCAACTTTGTTCCTTCATTTTGGTCCTGCAACCACAATGACAGTTGAGTTATTCTAACTGTTCCCAATAAAAGAATGGAAAAAAGAACGTCTAGAAGGGTAAATATTTTGTGATTAAATAAATTGATGCACAAATGCAAATCACTCATTTTCTAGGCGACATATTTCTCTTTTAAATAGAAAGGAGTCAATGGATTAGTTCTTGTTGAAAACTTCATTTATCCAGGGAACAAAAAGGCTTCCCCGCAAGTGAATGCAAGACAGATGAAACCTAAGTTATAACAAGAAGAAAGATACTATATGTTGCCTATGAGAGATTCAAAGCAAGTCTCCCCTTGCATCCTCGAAGGATCAATATGATACGTTATCTAACTTTGCCTCCAAAATTTAAGGAAATTACTTACTGATCACTTTTCCATATAATGAAAAGAACTAACAATGGAACTGGAAGTCAGAATTTAGATAAATGAATTCTACAGTGTGCTGAGTTATACACCTTACATTCACAATCATAGCCAAGTAGTTTATCCATTCGAATGTAACTAAAGGCAGTCCAAGTTGACCTGTAGGTCCGGTCCAGACAAGTTAATTTGTTTCCATAAGTCGGAAACATAATCAGAATTATTTAGCCATAAAGTCTATGGTCCATTTGATTGTTCTTGAAGAAGAACAAAAATTAAAATTAAAATTATTTTCAAAAAATTAGCATTAGGCCCCTGTTTAAAAGACACACCTATGCAGGCAACCAAAGAAAAAGAAAACTAGAACGGTTAATCAAAAAGGTCCAGTTCGAACTGTTCCTTGTGTACCTGCATCTCCATTGGAGCAAAATCAGAGTAAGTCGTGCCGGAGAAAACACTCTAACCTTAATAGAGAGCAAACCCAGCGGCCTACAACATATAGTTCCGTCAATTAAACCACAATTTCAAAAGTAACACATTCAAATCACAGAGCAACATAGACAAACTCCATAGTTTCTCTTTCTGTATACACAGCTTGAAAAAGCTTGAAAAACAGACAAAACAACTCCGATTTCGATTGCACAAATCAGATCAATCAGATTCAGACTCTCAATCTCAAATCTCTAATTTTCTTCCCAGAAATGAATAAAACAGAAACGGAACAAGGCTTTAGCTGAGAAACATAAAACTGAGATAACTATACCTCGGATTCTGCTTGAGATACAAAATTTTTCACGATTTCGATTCGCGGGAAAACATATAGTTTCTCAAGAATGTTATATACTCCGAGAGAAACAAAGTAATCTCAGAGAAATTAAACGAGCAAAGAACGAGGAAATAGAGAGAAGGTAAGAACAAAGAAGGAGGAGAGGGAGGGGGAGGAGAGTTAAATGGAAGAGCAATAAAATAAAGTGAGAAAAAATAATAAAAAAATTGTGAAAAAAAACCGGAGAGTGCCACGCTAGGCAGAAGAAAATATTTTTGGGGAAAAACAAAAATCTCAATCGAGGGTTCGAGAAGAAGTGAGAGGCTTGTGGCTGAAAACGCACTGGGTCCCAGGACACGTGGCGGTCGGATATTACTCGTTTTATTTTCTGACAAATGTTATTCGGAAGTGTCGTTTTATTTTGTGGAAGACATGAGAGCTGAGCAGATAATCGAGAAGATTTTATCAAAAATTAAAAGATATTTTTGTTTCTTTTTGACTGAAAACGATATTTTGTAGCTTCACGCGCCTGGCCAACGTTTGAGTTTTACAACTCCTTTCATCTAAACTCTAGACTAAAACATTTTTGGCCCTCAAAACTAAAAAAATCCAAACTACTTGTTCTCTTTATTTTAAATTTAGAATATTTTATAATATATTATTAAATATTAGTGTAATACTTTTTTTAGTGATAAAATATTTCTTTAATAAATTATTGTCGCCATTGTTGTTCCCGACACAAGAATTTATCCCCATCCACCATTCAAATTAGGCTAAAAATCATTGGATAGTATAAAGTTGTATATGCAACATAAAATTTGATGTAAGGTGTACTATTTATAACTTTTAAGTATGTTAAGACGTTAATGGATATTCATTATAAAATGATTCAACAAATTATCTTGAATTTTGGCCAAAAAAAAATTATCATAAAATTGCTTCTGATAAAAATAATTTTAATATGAATGAACACCCGTCAAGTGGTATGTTAAATTCTTTGATCAAGTTATATTTTTTCATTCTTAACATGACATCATTGATCTTAAATTTATAACAGAATATATCATATAATATTAGATATCAGATTAGGTGATAAGATTATAAATATGGACTCAAATCCTCGAATATAAAATAATATACTCCTTCCATTTAAAAATATAAGATATTTTTTGAGGAGTTGAATGTTCAAAAATGTAAGACATTTTTAGTCTTTTGAAGTGTAATCATTATCTTTTTTAAAAGTGTCCCTATTGATGAATAACTTTTTATTTATTGTAGGGTGTTTAATAGAAATAAATGTGAAAAGATTTGATTAATTTGAAAGTAAGTAATAACTTTATTAAAGGATGAGATTCAATTAAAAATATTTTATATTTTTTAACAAATAAAGTAATTTTTTATGAATAGATAGGAATTGAAATATTTTCATGAGCTAATTGTCTAGTTGAGCCTCATGGTAATGTTTAAATTCAAATTTATGAGTAATAATACTAATAAATATCATAAGTTGTATAAAAGATAAAATCTTATTATAAGAGAATTTTTTTTTGTAAATTATTAATTTATTATTGAAATATTTTCATGAGCTAATTGTCTAGTTGAGCCTAACGGTAATCTTTAAATTCAAATTTATGAATAATAATACTAATAAATATCATAAGTTGTATAAAAGGTAAAATCTTATTTTAAGAGCTTTTTTTTTGTAAATTATTAATTTATTATTGGTATAGGTGGAAAAGCAATAAAGTTTAAACATTTTTGGAAAGAGCTGAAAATTGGTGTGTCACTGTAATTTGATAGTAGGAAAAGATTACTCCTACCATAATGTATTCAGTTATTACTTAAATGCATCAGTTCAATAATTACTGATTAAGATTAAATTCATGTATATCACTTTGGATGAATGATGAATAGGCCTCAAACCAATCAATTAATTTAAATTAAATTTTAAAATATCAAATTTTAAAAGTTTGTAAATTTGAATTTTAATTTTTTAACTTCATTATAATGAATTTATAACATATTTTTTAAATTTTAATAAAGAAAATAAACTTATTTATTTTTTAATTATATTAAATTAAAATTTAAAACATAAATTATAATTTTATTCTAATAAAATTGTAAAATTAAAAATTAAACTTAAAAATTTTTAAAACTTGATATTTTAAAATTTAATTTAAATTAATTGATGACTCATCTATCGTTCTCCCTATCACTTTAATAATGACTAGTTAATTAATTAGTTAAATGTCATTTTGAAGCCTAAAAGGAAAAGGGGACCTTGGTGGCGTAAATTGGACGCTTGATTGTAGTGAGCGGGGAGGACAACTAAGCCCGCCGTCAATAGGCTTAGACCTTAGAGTAGGGCGTGTGATATTGTTGCCACCTCCGATGAATGGAATATCCAACTCATATCTCTTCAAGATTGCGATTTTAATAAACTATTATTAATACGAAATTTTATATTCATGTGGGACTGTATAACATATAAATTATAAAATATTTAATGATAAATGCACAATGTTGGTCAACGGCCAGTTCTTTCAGCAATGACCTCACATCATAAAATCAAATTTACAAGAAAAATAAAATTTAAAATAATGATAATAAATCTTGTCTTATATTAGAAATTAAAAAAATTTATGAAAAGTGTCATATATAACATGAGCATGAGAGAGTATATAATGCTGGACCTGTGGATCCACAAGTTAGTTACTCCATTCTCATGAGTACTTACTAAATAATGATGTTTTTCTTGATGCAATACATGTTTAATTTTTTGTTTGTTAAAAGTGCATTTAATAAAAATTAATTTAATAAAATTTTATTATCGTAATAAAATTTGTGTTTAAATATATTTTTTTAAAAAGTCAATTTGATAAGTTAAAAATTGTTTAGATTATATATAGTGAAATATGCTTTTGAATGTACAATTACTAAAAGAAACATTCATTTATGGGCTACAAGCCTCTAATGTGCCATTTTTTTAATACCCCTTTATAATACCCCAACTTTTTAATTTTATTTTTTATTTTTCTTTGAATCATTGATTTCTACATAAAATAAGAAACATTTGGATATCTTGATATCCCAAAATGGTGAAGATTTATATTTTTTATGATTTTTTAAAAATAAAAGGGTGTATTTGTGATATTTTTTTAAAAAAAATTATAAAAAATATAAATCTTCACCATTTTGGGATATCAAGATATTCAAATGTCTCTTATTTTATGTAAAAGCCAATGATCTAAAAAAAATAAAAAATAAAATTAGAAAGTTGGGGCATTAAAAGGGGCATTAGAGAAGGGCATATTAAAAGCCCCCAACTCTTCGTTTATGATGTTTTGTAATTTGTCATACAAATATAATATATTAAAAATGTCTAAAAATGTGATAAAAATTTTGAAATAATATAAAATTTGATATATTGAAAAAAATTATATAATAAATATTTTAATATATATCAATATTAAAATTTAACATGATTAATTGTTCAATATATAGTAGACAATCTGGTCTTTAATTAATCACATACTGTTCATTAGAATGTGTTTAAATACAAAAGTATTTAATTAATTATTAGTTTTTTTAATATTTTTTATTTAGCTAATTTTTCATTGGAACATATGTTTAAATATGAAAAATGTAGAATTTTTTTATTTGTAATCAAAATTATAGAATTAACCATGCTTCTTAATTTGATCTTGTAAAAATCACTTACTTCATCAAAGAGAATAATACAGCTAATGTTCATCAGAAATTTTATTTACAATTTAATTTAATTTGCAAAGGAGGGCACTGATGGAACGGATGGTAAAGAAGGTAGAGCACTAAATGTTGGAAAAGTGGTGGGGTGCACGCTTTCAAATTTTGAAAAGTTCAACAATAACAACAACGACAACAATATCAACAACAATAAGTCTTTATCCTACTAGATGAGGTTGGTTACATAAATTATAAGACATCATTATGCTTTATCATTTATCAAGCTTTTAGAAATAAATTTTGAAAATTTATATAAAATTAAAATCATTAATTTAAACCAAATCGAATTGATTAACCCGAACTCACCCAAAAAAGTTAAGGCGACGATTAAAAAAATAATATTCTCAATAAAATTTGAACCAAGCTTGGCCAGGGTTCGAGCTTTTCCCCAATATCCAAATAACAAAAATAATATTTTTTAAAAAAAAATATATATATATAATATAATAAATATTAATTAATTTTTTAATTTTATGTCATTTTATACATTACTACAGTTTTTAAAAAATGGAAAATATTTACATTTTTATATTTTTATTAGTTTTAATCAATATAAGATCTCAAAATAATTTTTAAAATATATTTTATTATTTACCCACTTATTTTTTAAAAAAAAATTGAGTCCTATGCATCGTTTGAGTATCCAAAAAATATATTGAATATTTTTTACAAAAAAAGATAATTAATTTTAAAGTGAAAAATTAAATTAAAAATAATTTTAAAAATAAAATTTAGGTATGTATGAATTCTCAGCTCTATTATTACATAAAAATAATAAATAGAATAATAACCTTGAATAATTATTTGGTTATCATCCACTGCAGACTTGATTAAAAATTTAAAATAAACTAGAGTAAATACCCTTTCCATGTAGAGGTCAAACGATATAAAAAGTTAAAAAAATAATTCTAGAAAAATAATATTTTACTCATAAGTAAATGATTTTATTTTATATAGTATAATGATAATTTTTTCTCATATTCTTAAAAATAAAAAGTATAGTTTATCCAAAAATTATTGAAAGTTGTGAATTAATTGGAGCAATGATTTTAAATTACTGCTCTAAACTATGATTGAAGTGAGGTTAACTTGATAATAATTAAAATAATTTAATTTAATTAAAAATATATAAAATATTTATATATGACCATGATAAGAGCAATATTTAAACAACTAAGATATTAATTTACAAGTAAAAAAATATTTATGAATAAATTACACATAGTACAATAAAATAATAACAGAGTTACTTAATTACAAAATTAATGAGTTATTTATTTTTTTATTATTTTAAAGTCAGAATAATATCTTATACTTAACATTGTTACTTAAAAATTAAAATTGATTCAAAAATAAAAAGTGTTTTTTAAAAATTTTGGGTACTCAAGCCGGTTCGAATAAATCCG